TCACAAGCTGAGTTCCACGCTTGGAAAGAAGAGATGGTCGTCGGAGAAATTTTTCTTGTTTTGAGCAAAGCAAGTGGCACGCCATTTCATCTGCCACGTGTCAAGGAGATTTTTTGGGATAACACAAGCCATCATGAAGAAGAATCCTACCATTCATTTCACAAGATTTAAACAGCCAGTCCCATACCTGTATCAAAGGCAATTAAGTACTAATCTATCTCATATTTGCTTGAAATTGTATGTTGAAATGTCTTGACCTGAAATGCTTTGTGTTCTTGGATTGGCCATCTCAATGTTCTCGATTGCTGCAAGACAATTTTTGCACTTGATGGATCTTCTCTTCTATTCTTCAGTTCATTGTTATCATTCTCATCTGGCTCTTTTCTCTCATGGTCGCTGCTCATGTTTCTACGATATCTGGGTCTGGCTGTCATAAAGATGTCTCAGAATTGAAAACAAGGGAGAATATGATAGAAATTAATTCCCTACAGAGTTAGCCATGATGAAAAAAACCCCACAGATGCATGATATTCACTGTCACAAAGGGAAACACACATATACCAAAGAATTTCAAAAAATATATATCACAGACGGTAAGCATGAGCCTCCTCTCAAGTAGAGTAAATCATTTGCATACTCACCAAAAAGTGAACCAACAGATATGGGATATAAGAAAATCCCATCTGTGATTAATGCAGAATGAACAATGAAGAAATGAGGCTTGTGGCACACCTGAAGAACAACTATTCCCCCATAAAAACCCAAAAAGAAACTGGCAATGATAGCACTAATCACAGCTCCAATGACAGCCAAAGGCCATAAAAGGATGGCTAGACCAGCAAAAGGAACACATACTGTCTCCAATAACGGTCCTTCTCTGCCAATCAAATCTTCAAGTAGCCTCTTCCATCCCTTAAACAACATGTAAGGACTTTTCCACAAAGCAATTGCTGTAATCATAGGCACATCAACTATCACACCAATCAGGCCAACCAACAAGCAATGTGGCAATATTGATAACCTTGGAAGCAGCAGGTGGGTAAACATCTTAAGTTTTTAACTAAATTAATTGATCAGTTTGCAGTAAACGTTCAAAAAGAAGTTCCTTACTTAATATCCATTGGCTTTTCATCCTTGGACAATTTTTCAGTTAGGTCATCCATGTAGGAAAAATATGAATGAAAACAAAAATCTGTGAAATCCTGCACTGCCATGCAGCTTCCCGTAATAGGGGACAAACAACCATCCTGGTAATGTGGTAAGCAAAAATAGGAAATTACAATGCAACCCATAATGATAATTATCATAAAAGCAAGCTGGAAAAGTAACTGCAATACTACAAGTACAATGTTTTGTATAATATGACATGACAGCAAATGAGTGGATGCATACCGATACATGTGTGCCCCCACCCCCAAATGAAAAGAAGAAATAAAAAATTGCAACCTCATATAAAGACGTTGTACAAAATACCATACTATGCATATCATTTTCTGAAAAGTAATAGATTTAGTTTGACTTCAAAATTTTGTGGGGACCAAACTCCTACGGAAGTGGAACAATCCCCCTGCATGTAAAGATTGAATCGATGTAAAATGAAGGCATAGCCAAGGTGAACAACACTTTGGCGGGCAATTGTGCTTAAATGAATAGTTTTTTTTATTTTTTTTCCTCTATGTTTTTTCCAAACCTTATCCAACGACTCTTTCCTGCTTCATTTCTGTCTAAATAAAGCTACACTGATAAACTATAATTTGCAGTTGCATTTATGCAAACAAATATATTCCTCGTGCATGAATTTGAAAGAAATGCTTAAAAAGCAACTACTCGAAGCAGATATAAGAGCAAAATTTCTAAAGAAAAATAATCAGAAGAACCTCAGTCAGACCAAAAATCAAACAGAGACCGAACTAGAGGAAGGAACCTACGACAAAGCAGTGGTAGCATTTGTTAGTGACATTCTGCCCAACACCCTCAAAAGTGGAAATGAGGGGAGCAAAAAACCCATGCCCAGTTCCAGCTAAAAGGCTTCCAACAATTCCAAGGATTGCCCACAGAACCAACGGCACTGGCAACAATACTAGCACCAGAATCTTCAGAACCAGCCCCATCTTTTTCGTTCTAGAATTACACGGTTTACACCCACAAAAAGGACATGACATAAGGTTACAAAGAAAAAAGTGTCCGAGAACTAGTTCAAGTAAGAAATTAAACAGCACATATTAGAACTCCAACCTTGTGACGCAATACTAAGCTCAAATGAAATGAGCAGGCCAGAGTCCAATTACCACAGCCGAATTTCCGGTCAGAAGAATTCCGACAACTATTGGACCAATTATTGCAGCTGTTAATTTGAAACAAAAATAAAATAAAATTCAGTTACACATATATAGGAATCAGAGCAAGGAGTAGAGAAAATGGAAAAATGAAACACCTTTTAGGAGGCCGAGGATGATGAGCAAGAAGAAGAAGGGAAGAAACCACAGAGTTTTGACAGAAACCCGACTGGAACCTTCATCACCGCCGCGGAAAGCCTCGCCGGATGGTTTGGAAAATATTTGGAAGGTAAAATCGGAATTAAAATTCTAAGGATTGTTGTTGAGCGTACCGTGCGGAAGGCCACACTATGCTTGCATATTTTTAAAGAGAGATGTGATTCCAGACACGTGGCGGGAATGGTTGACAGTGTGCACGTGGCGCATGGAGAGATGGTAACCAAGACAGAATTAGACTCCTCCGAAAGTAATTATGGAGACGGGGATAGCAGATGAGACACATGCTGCGATAGATTGATGGGGACGTTGGGACCAAATTTCTTCGATTGCTAGTCATGTAGGCTATATGTGACTCACCTGTAATTAATCGCTATCATTGATTCATCTTTATTCTAAAATGCCCCTAACTATCAATATTCTTTTTTTTTTAATGAAGAAAGTGTTTGAGGGTAAGTTTTTTCATGTTGAGGTTATTTTTTTTACTGGAAAGAAATTAGCATATATTTAAGTAAATGGGACCGGAGGAAGGGAATAATTGAGACTTGAACTTGAGTAATTCATACTAACCCAAGGTTAAAGTTATTAGATTAGAATATGGGGATCATTTATATTAATTTTTTTAGGCAATTATCTCTCTATAAATTAATTACATTTAGAAAAATTAATATTTTAAAACTTAATATATAAAATGATGTTTATTTATTAGTAAATGTAACTTTTAAGGTTATATTCTAAATTCTAAGTAACATTATTTAATAAAGTAATGATATTTGGGGCATAGTTATGATCACTAATAGTCACTAAAGCTATAAAATATTATTTTTAAATGAAAATATTAATTATATTCAATTTGATTAATAAAAATAATGAATAATTATAACTATTAATTTACAGTTAATAAAATAATTAATGTTTATTAATTAATGAATTAAAATTAATAATAATTAATATTTTTAAATATCATTAAAAAACTACAATTTTAATAATTTTAATAATATTGATGATAATAATAATTATTGCTTATATTCTGAACTAAAATTTGATGCAAAATTTGAGATAATTTATTCAAGTTAATGTGGACTCAGGTCAATTAATAGTAACCATAAATTCATCTTAAATTTTGCTCTTAAAAATTAATTCTAAGTGTCACTTTTTCGGTATATTCAACATAGAGATTAATTTTTTTTACATAAAATAATATAATAGATTATACCATAAGAAATAGTTTTACATTCCTTTCTACCCACAATATGATTCAAATTTCAAAATTTTAATGAAAAAATTCAAATTTCTAACTAGATTTTTTCAGAGGACATTTAACTCTTAATTCCTAGGAAAAGCTATTGCCATATATCTTCATTGATTATTTGTTGGTTTAACTTTAGATGATTTGTTTATTTCACTTTTTTCTTCTTATTATTGTTGAGGAATGAATTTTGTATTGTTTTGAAATTGATAACATATGTAGCATAATATTAACAAGATCGGCTTTGGATTTGTGACTAAGAAAGGCCTAAATGGTTTATTTCCACATCAAATTTGTTATATTCTATTTTTTGCTTATTATTATAATAGAGTTAGCATCACTAGAGGCGGCATTCATCCACTTTGCTAGAAATACTACAAACATAATCCACTTCAATATCTATTTTCATATATGTAATATCCTAAATTTTCTGAAATTCTAGCATTTAAGTTAAGGACCTTTTTGTGAGAAAATATTATTTTCGGGCTTATTAGCTAAAATATATAAACTTGAAGGACTTAAAAGAGGAAAATTTGGATAAGGATCAGCTATTTTTTTCTCCTTTTCCTCTTTCTGTTTTAGGCCGATTCTGCTCTTCTTCTTCTTCTTCTCCCTGCACCGAACAAGAAGACCCAAGCCAACCCACACCTCCCCTTGGAAAAAATCAGTAAGAAGCTTGAGATTTCCCTTCTTTTCTTGTTTAAGGACAAGATTTAGGACTTAGGACACTCTCCCAAACCTAGAATTTTCCAGATCTGCACTGTTTCCTTTCCCCTTGCTGTCCATCGGTTTCTGCTATGTGTGATTTCTGGGCATTTTTTCGGTAAGCCACAGCCATGAACTCCATCTTTTCAGCTTAATTTAGCTTGGGTTGATGTTAAATCTGTTGTTTCTCCAGATTTTGGTAGCCCCGTGACTTTCCTTCCTTCCTTTCGTCAGCTGCTCTTGTTTGTGGGTGCGAAATTCTTCAAAATTCTGGTAAGAAACAGCCATTAAATTCTCTGTTTTTCCTTGAATTGGTTTGGGTTTACTCTAAATTCCTCTTGG